GTCTGTGTGCGTGTCGCGTGCACTTGGTTGGCTGCTATAGGACCTCCTCTCATACTTGGGTGGTTGGACAGGTTGGCGCTCCACGTGGGCTCGTCGGTGGTTAGATGGCTCACATCGGTCGTTTGAGCCGCGATTAGTTCTCCTCCCCTGCCGCAGCAGTGACCACTGTTGACGAAGCTACAAATCGCTTGCTATCGCCGGCGGTCTCATCGGCGCTGATTGGAGCCTTGTACGGAAAGCCTGATAGGCTGAATTTAAATCAATATTTCTGTTGATTGTGCCCACCGATGCCCAACTTTCAAGCACCAGTCTGGTCATATTGTCGTTCGATCGGCTTTGGCGTTTTCGAAAGCGAAACTATGGTTTTCTCGTTCTATGTGGCCATATACCAGTGGCAGTCTATTGTCGCGGTTGACCACAATTTGGTGTTCATGCAATATTGTGCAGGGACGTTTATCCGTTTCACCAACATACCTGACGCTGCAATTTTGGCACTGCATGCTGTGGACCACTGCTGATCGTTCCGTTGCCGGTAGCGGGTCTTTGGGTCTCACTATCTGCTGTCGGATAGTTGAGTCCGGTTTTTGAGCAACTGCAATTCCAAAAGGAATCTTGAGGTCGCTTCCGAAACATTCCTCATGTAGGGGATCGCGAGCTAAAACTTCGGTTTGTCGTCATTTGATCATTCGCGGGCGGGCTTTCGTGGGCACTCACGTATGAAGGACCGCGGGTAGCCATTGGCTGTGAACTGGGAGTAGAGGTATTTTACCTCCTCCCTTCTCCCGTTTTCATCGCTACAGTGTGTTTGAATGCGTTCGAATAGAATTTTAACACAACTGCGTTTGTGACCAATTGGTTGGTTACTTCCGAATTGGAGGATACGTCTGGTGTTTCTTCACTTGCGGTGTACCGTAGTTCGAACCCTCCCCTAAGAAGTCCTCGTAATCTATACATCCAGGAAGGGCAATTTGTTGTTGTTTTCTTCTTCCATCGTAAATTGGATGTCCGGGAATATAGAGTTCAGTAAGGTATTAAAGTCCTGTACGTCGTTCTTTTTGATAACAACAAATGTGTCGTCGACACACCTGGCCCAGAATTTTGGAGAGTATGAACGGAAGACCAGTCGTTCGAGCTTCTGCAGGACCGCCCCGGTAATTAACCCCGACAGGGGGGGGAGGGAGGGAGCCCATCGGTGTTCCCTTCTTTTCTTCGTAGATCTGATCGTTGAAGGTGAGACAAGTCCTGAGACAGAATTCCAAGAGCTGTGTGATGTGTTTTCGTTTAAATTTTTGGTCATCCTCCTCATATTTTTCTCGTATTTTCACCCATGTTAGTATATATATGGCTCACTTTTCCGGCTGATAAACGTCACTTTGTATAGTACCAGAGTAAAGAATGGTCAACCCGAGGCTTAGTTTTCACTCCATCCCATTGACTCTACAGTGAAATCGATTTGATGTGCTTCGAGCTGATGCCCCGTCACCACAACATTGCCCGTTTTCGCATGGGACGACCGTTCCCTCTTGATCCTCGCACAAAAGCTGCTCTGGGCGCGGACTATATGTTGCATATGTTCAAGGAAGCCTGTCATTGGAGCTCTTTCACTCTAAATTACATTGAATGGACCTACGAGTACTTCGTCCTCGATCCGCCTGTGCCCATCAATTGTCCCATCCAGGGCAAATTTAAATTCGTCCAGACGGGCCAAGAGGCCGAGAAGTACGTCTTCAAGATGCCCAATGGAATGACACCGAGACCCTGGCTGCAGGTAGGCTATTTGTCGTTGGCTGCTTCCCTTTATGATTATTTGGGTTATTTACAGGAGTTAGAAGGCTGTACTTGAAATGCGTAGTATGTAATCTTCTAGTAATACTAGTCAGTCAGTAGATTTGGAGTGGAACATAAGCTCAGCGTTGACTTTAATCAGCATCATTTCTGATCAATTATTAGCGTCAGTAATAGTACCAGTTCTACTATCACTCAGCTACACTGCCAGTAAGCAGTAATATAAATAGTAGTAACAATGTCAGACTCGGTCTCCTCGAGTCTTTCTGGACACCTGCTAAACGTGAGTGAGGGTTGGTAGTGCATTAGTACCAGCGCAAAAGGCTACTGTATTTTAAGACTAAGTTAGGGAGTGTTTCTGGCCTGCATTGGAGAACGTGGCTTACGCCTGATTCCCTCTCGGTCATCTTGACTCTGTCTTGTCACTGGTTAGAGCGGGATTAGGCCTTATATTGTAGTAGATGGCTGCGCGTCTACTTTTACAATATCTGACTACAGTCTCCATCCCTTCTCTTGGAGCAGATGGCAGACATCATGGAAATCGATGGTCGAACCATCATCTTTGGAGTAAATGACAGAAGCCCTTAAAAACTCCATTGAAACGGTACAGGAATGCATAAAAGTAGTGATTATGCGAAAATTGTTACAGGTAGTATTATTATGCAGAAATGCATAAAAAATGGTAACAAAATATGAATAGTTAAAAGGTTGAGACGTTTGCTAAATAGCAGCGTACAACACGTTCCCTCTATTTCCACTATGCTACTGCATACTTGTGAGTATTTGAAACATTTGGCGGATAAATGTGTAGCCAATAAAAATGCAGGAAGAACGATCCACAGACTAGCAGGCGTTTCAACGCTTTTACGTAGTTTATTTATTACTATATTATTTTAGATTGATTTCTTAAATTATTTAAAAAAGGAAATGGTTGTTAGGAGGTCGTCTACTTCAAATTCTCTGTGGTCCAACTTACCGTTCTGGAGTTATTTTAGTAAAGCCCGTGGCGCAAAGCGCTGCGCAAACCTTCAATTTACATGCGCAATAATTTCCATGAAGCCTTAGATGTGTTTTCTTCCAGTTTTTGGAACCTCTTCACGACAAATAAAAACGTTAAAACGCCCGCCAATATATTGGTCGGTCATGCCGCACGTTCATTGGTTAACTTTATCCGCCACATTTGTGAAAATAGGGTCTCTCAGAATTGGCGTCATTTTTCCGCACTTTTGCCGCGTGTTCGACAATTCGCGTCTTGTAAAGCCTGCCAGTTTCTCGGACATTTTTGCTTTGTCCGCAACTGCACCTGATCCTACAGACGACTCCAGAAGTTTCTTGCCGTGGCAGTGAACCTTTCGGTTTCACTAGCTGACGCCTTATGGTTGCCTCCGGCCGGCGTGCGACTCCAACTCCGAGCCGTGTGAGAAGGCGGCCGACGGCCTCCGAGACATTTTTGACGTCAAGGAATCGCCAAAACTGGGATGTCGGCGCGATTTTGTTTCCCATCTCGTTTGCGCATCCACCGATTAAGGAATTTGTGCATTTCGGCAGCTTTGTCTTCTGGTTCACTGCGGTACTCCTCAACACGCCGATAAAGCGTCCGTACACAACTGCGTTTGTGGTTGATTGGGTGGTTGTTGCTTACGTTCAGTACTTGCATCGTATTTGTTGCTTTCCTGAACACTTTGGTCTTTACGCAACCACAATCTTTGCGGCAGACGAGGACACCAAGGA